GGGGATGTAAAGACAAGTAACTATACATTCCTTCAGAGAAACATACAAGTGGGAGCAAAGAACTCTTCTGGGAAGGATTGAACAGTCCTCGCAGGTGACAAGTGTGCAGGACTTTGAAGTCAAAGATATCAAGTGTAAAAAACAATAGGACCAAGGGTTTAATATATGAAATACAGCTCACCTGCCTTCTATATTCCCTGTCTTGTGTAGATGGAGTGATGTTTTCAAAGTAGTGAGGGTAGAGTCCCTGAAGTATGGGTGGAGTCAGGAGTCCTATGGGTGGAGTCAGGAGTGCTGCTGGAAAAACAGGCTGGCCCTGGGTGTGAAGAACTTTAGGTATCAGCTTGCAATTTACCTGCATGCACTGCGCTGTCTTAAATGTCAAGGAAGGAAATCTTGCATGAAGATAATCCTGCAACAAGGAAGTATTGGTAAAAAGAGAACCAGTGGGAAACTCACACTCTAAGAGAAATGCGTCACAATAGATTGAATGAGAGATTACTAGACTCAGAAATATTTCGGGACCTGGGGCTGTCTGTTGTCATGGTGTAGCTGGTAAAGCCACACCTGTGTTGTCAGCATCCTGTGTGGGAACTGGTTCCAGTCCCAGCTGTGCCACTTCCAATCCAGCTTCCTGCCAATGGCCAGAAAAAGCAGCAGAAGATGGCCCAGGTACTTGGGTCCCTGCACCCATGTGGGAGCCCTGGAAGACCTGAAAGAAGCAGCTAGTACCTGGCTTTGGTCTTGCCCACCACTCACCCCAACCACCCTTCTGCCCCCTCGCCAGCCCTGCTGCCTCTCCTCTCTGGAAATATGCCATTCAAATAAATAAATCTTTGACAACCTTTGTTCAAAAGAAACATAACATTGGTAGAGGTATGACTTAAAAGAAAGAGATGAGAGTTAGACACTTTGAGCAGGACTGAGAGAATCTGGTAACCACTGCCCCATGCCCTGTAGAGTCAGAAGGTACAATAAATGCATGTATGTAACAGCCAGGCCTAATCAGTTCATTCTGATTCTGTCATTTACTAGCAACTGTGATTCTCAGCAAAGGATGCAAAAATGAGCATAATGCCATTTAACTTTTCTTCTGTGCCGAAAATTAAATGATGCAAAGTATATTGCGCTATAATATAGTACCTGACACAAAATAATAAATCCATACAGTTGGTGCCTTTCAGATGGCGTTCCTAATTCCACATACCTGGATCTTTCTAAGCAGATGGTTCACCTTGCTGTGTCTGTTCTCTTACCTGAAAAATATAGGGTTATTCTTTATTTCTCAAATATTTCCTGTTCTTTCCTATCTCTGAAACTTCACTAATTGCTATTTTTTATCTTGGTATATACATCCTCCACTCAGTTCTGGTTTTTACTAAGAAAAGTTAATTCTCATAAAACCAGGACTTCCTCTAAGAAGACATCCTCATGTACATCAGTTAACAATTACCTTTCCTTCAGTTAAACTCCAAAAGCACTTCACTGGAACCACTCTAGCCGCCTTTAAACTGTACTACTCTTTGGCTATTTTGAATATATTTTTCTCTCTTCTAGGTAGCATCTGGTTACATTTTCTAATTGCTACTGCACTTGATTCAATGCACAGTGTTGTAGATATGCAATAGATTAATGGGATTGCCTTAGAGCAAAGCAAGCAATGGAGCACTTGGCAATTGAGAGGAGGATGGTGCCTGTCTTCATGAACCAGAAAATCCGTGGGGTAAATTCTAATTTTATTTTCCCCATTTCTAGTTTTATCTTGGTAACATATGTATTCTACTTCTAAGAATGGTAAAATGCAGCACAGAGGGCCTGTAAGAAGAGTTTCAAACAGCATCTTACTGGTTGGCTGTTTTTTGGGGTGTTTTTTTTTTTTTTGGTTGTTTTTTTTTTTTTTGGTGTTTTTACCCTTTTATGTCGTCTGCAGAGTTTAATTCAGATGCCTAGCAAGCATAATATTTTTAACAGAACCTCAGAGCTAGTCTAGTTTTTCTCCTTTTTAAGATTTATTTATTTATTGGAAAGTCAGATATACAGAGAGGAGGAGAGACAGAGAGGAAGATCTTCTGTCCGATGATTCACTCCCCAAGTGAGGGCAATGGCCAGTACTGCACCGATTCAAAGCCAGGATCCAGGAACCTCTTCCGGGTCTCCCACGCAGGTGCAGGGTCCCAAGACTTTGGGCCATCCTCGACTGCTTTCCCAGGCCACTAGCAGGGAGCTGAATGGGAAGTGGAGCTGCTGGTATTAGAACCAGTGCCCATATTGGATCCCGGTGTGTTCAAGGAGAAGACTTTAGCTGCTAGGCCACGCTGCCGGGCCCCAGAGCTAGTTTTGCACAAAAAAATGCAATTTGACAAATAAAATAATCCATACACATTGTTTCAAATTTTTCTGTCTTGCACCTTATATTCAACTTTGTTATGAACCTGAAATTTTTCAAAAAATATATATCTAGTGAGGAAAACTAAATTACCTGATTAAGTGGCACCCTTTGGCTTTTTTGCTTAGATGTTTTAACTTTTTTTTTAAAGATTTATTTTCATTATTTTTTTTATTGGAAAGGCAGATATACAGAGAGGAGAGACAGAGAGGAAGATCTTCTGTCTGATGACTCACTCCCCAAGTGAGCGCAATGGCTGATGCTATGCCGATCCGAAGGCAGGAGCCTCTTCCGGGTCTCCCATGCGGGTGCAGGGTCCCAAAGCTTTGGGCTGTCCTAGACTGCTTTCCCAGGCCACAGGCAGGGAGCTGGAAGGGAATTGGGGCCGCCGGGATAGAACTGGCGCCCATATGGGATCCCGAGCATGCAAGGCGAGGACCTTAACCACTTGCGCCACCGTGCCGGGGCCCAGATATTTTAACTTTTTAAATATGTATGGCTTAGGTTTATGAAATTAGTTTGTGGTCCCTTTATATATGGCAAAAGACATCAAGGGAAAGTGGTGAGCCAAGCAACAGAGAAAGTAAGTGTGCATTTAAAACTTACAGAGGAAAAAAAAAATAAAAACTTACGGAGGAAAAACTGATTTTTGTGTAATAGAGAACTAAGCGCATTATGCTTTTCTTAAATTTTCAGTAAGGAGAAACAGTTTTTGTAAACATTTCTATTCACATTTTAAAAGAAAAACACACACATACTATGGTTTATGTGAAATAAGTTTATTTTTTTCAACAATATTAAATAAACTATTATGCATTCAATAATACAATGGGCATGTGTTAACAGAGTTAACCTAGGCACTTCCGGTATGATACAGTAATACAATCAGACAGTTAACTGCCTTCGCATCCTGCCTGCTCATTTCACAGTTTTTAGTGTTCTTCTATGAACTGCTTTATTTTATAAAAACTTCAAAGCCTCATCACAAAATGACTGACTTATTGTAATTCTATTTACTATCATCCACATGACCAATGAATTGGCAAACATTTTTAAACTGTTTCCCTTTATTTGTATATTAAACTATCGCTTCTCGGCCTTTTGGCTAAGATCAAGTGTAGTATTTGTATATTAAACTAGTGGTTCATTTTACTAAGTCATAAGAAATTGTCTTAAATAGCCAAATGTAAATGAAATGAAACCTCCTTTTAGAAGGACTAAGCCAAAGATGTCTTATTTCTTTATTTTAAAAGTTTTGCCCGTTACTTTTAATTGGACAATTTTAAATTCAGTAACTTTATAAAGAAGGTTTTACCTTTTAAAAATAGAAAGGATCTGATTTTTTTATAGAAGTTGTACAGTTTGTTTTCCAGTACTGTCAGAATCATATATGTTCTCTCAAGAACATTCACAATTACCCTTATTGTTATCATACACATATACACGGAGAACCTCTAGAATCAGCTCACCTGATTACATTAATTTTCTTATAAAGAAAAAATTCATTCATGTTTCCTTACACAAATATAATATTATTACATATTTAAAGATGAAATTAAACTATCTGAACAAATCTCCAGCAAATTTTGTACTCCATATTCTTTTCTTTTCAGGCTTGAAATAAAATTAATTACAAAATAATAAATATAAAATGCATCAAAGTCACATTGAATTCACTCTTTTGAATAATGAAATATGCTTTGATATAAACTACACTACAAATAGCACATCTTAATTATTTTTAAGTAAACATGAATTATTAATGGGAGTTACCTTGGAAATGCTGAAATAATAGTAACATGCAAATTATATTTTGTACAATATAGAAATACAAGACAAAATTGAAAATGATCTAAAATTGTACATATTTTCTTTCCATTGTAGTTTTGTTGCTGTTCAACCAAAAATAGTCTAAATATGACAGCTGAATATTATTGCCTCCCTAGAACTCTCATACTAAGAATAATCATAAACAGAAATCAATACTCCTGATTTTTTTGAAAATCTGAAATGTTGAGAAACTATCAATTTGATCTGAAATACTTTATAAATTAGTTGTTAATAAATTTCATCAACATGATCAATTTCAGAGATATATGGGCACTGTATATAATATTGGCATAAACATTGTTTAAATAAGAAGTTTCTGTTGTGGAAATCATGCTAATATAGAATTTCCCTGAAATGAACTATCTTGTTGGCTCACAGAAGTAGCTATAAAGTTATATTAAGGTTTTTAACTTAATATAACTTGACATCCACCCAAAAGTAGTTTTTTTATCATCAGTCATATCTGCTAATATTTCATTTTAGTTCAATATTTATGAATTTATCACTAAATCAATGTGATCACAGAATTTATTGAAAATGAAATGGTTCAAAAACCTACAAAGATATACAAGAACTGTTACTTCAGAAGTTGCTGTCTATGCTGCCTCTTCAAATGCAAAACGAAGGAATCTCTTGTATGCTTTAAAAATGTACTGACCTTTAATTACTTTCAAAAATTGCCTAAATATTTTAAAAATAAAAGGCTTCCCAAATAGTCATGCCTCGCAAGTTAGAAAATATTCACAATCTAGCAGACCAGATTAGCATGAAGTAGTTTTTCTTTCATGCAAGTAACTAGGTAGGATCTCACTCGTATTTTTAAACAGGAACCCATTCACAAAAGTTAAATGTTTCTTACTAAATGGGCTGAGAAATGCTGCTGAGATAATCTTCAGACTTCATGATAAAATTTGTCCACTCCTGACAGATGTCATCCATGGAGAATCCTTTACCACCATATTCCAGAGGAAGAATGTCTGGGAAATGCTGCAGTAAGCTTGGCTTGTAATTATTTCCATGCATATGAACCTGAAATAGACAAAATATTTTAGAAGGTTTACTTCTGCCTCTCACTTTATTCATGCATTTCCAGTAGGAAATCAGCATCATAAAGCAAGGTACAGTAACAGCTTCTAAGACATGAAAGTAGGTATAGATAGTGCATTCTTAATTCTGCTTGTGAATCCAAGGATTTTACTGAAGGGTAGATCATTCTGCTGTGAAGCTAATCTTATTATCTGTGTTCCTTTAACTGTGTAAGATTAGTAAAAGACGATAAAATGTACTATCCTATACATAAGTATATTACGAAAGGTATAAATTCTTCATAAATAGGAACATATCTCTGAGCACACAAATAAGTAAATAAAGGATATTTTATGAGGTACATTGCAGTAATCAAATGAAAAGATATTTAAGTTTACTCATATAAATTTTAAAGTTGTCACAAAATCATTAACACTTATTGTAGTAGGGCCCGGCGGCGTGGCCTAGCAGCTAAAGTCCTCTCCTTGAACGTGCCCGGGATCCCATATGGGTGCAGGTTCTCATACTGGAAGCTCCACTTCCCATCCAGCTCCCTGCTTGTGGCCTGGGAAAGCAGTTGAGGATGACTCAAAGCCCTGGGACCCTGCACCCATGTGGGATACCCGGAAGAAGTTCCTGGCTCCTGGCTTTGGATGGGCATAGCACCGGCCGTTGCGCTCACTTGGGGAGTGAATCATCGGACAGAAGATCTTCCTCTCTGTCTCTCCTCCTCTCTGTATATCTGACTTTCCAATAAATAAATAAATCTTTAAAAAAAAGGAAATATAAGTAAAAAAACGCTTATAATAGTATATAATTCTGAACAACTTGCTATGTTGGCTAGCACCAAATTAAGAGACAATTATGACAATTCAGAACTTCAGCTTTTTCAATATTTTAAACTTCAAAAATTGATCATAGACTGTCCTGATGATAAAAGCATAGAAACCTGGACCAGAAGCACATATTGCTAAATAAATAAATAACCATTTTTATCTGCTAGGGCAAAATGTTTGTCCATGCATTCAAAATCATTGAATAAGCACTCACTATGTATTAGGGTATATGGGTTGATGAGTCAAATTAGTATGTTATACTCATCTGAATATTACAATCTCAATCTTCAATCTTCTGTAAAGTTTTTAATATTTTTAGTTAACTAAGCAGAAATTCTATCCTATTAAAAGGAGGGAAATGAAAAATTATAAGATCAATGCCTAGAAGTTGAAAAGGAAAAGGCTGCATACAGATAGTCCTTTCCACGCTGTGTTGACAAGTCAGTTTCATGTCAACTAATTTTTATAGAAATACTTCATGCAACTTATAAATTTTTCATTTTTTTCTGCATTCTCCTTATTAATGTTTCTCCATCCTTTTTTGGTATAGATTATAGCCAAATACAAATTATACACAAATACCAAACGTTTACTAAATTCAAATAGTTGACAGAGGCTGGCCAGCTATTATCAAGCTGCAATGAAGACGGAAAAAATATGGACAAAAAGCTGACTTTCATCAAAGAATTAGACTTAAAGAGGTTAATGTGGCTATCTATACCTACAGCAGATAATTTGGAATGTTTCTTCTCAAGAACAAGTGGAAACACCCACTGGACAATCTCCAAAGAAGCTCTGGTGTTACAATCTTCTGATCAGATACCAGAGGTAACATTTTGCTAATATCCAAGAATATCATTTGTAAAATTCCATTATATTGTTATAATTGATTCCATCACTAAACTTGAATATTGGAGTGATTTAAATTGTAAAAACCTTTTAAAACTCTTTGTGCAAGTTAAGCTGCCTCTCAGGATACCCACATACCATAGGAGAGAGTTGATGTCTCTCGCAGCTGTTCTACTTCCTGTCAGTGTCCCACTAACACGCTGGGTAGCATTGATGACGGCTCAGTTGCTTGGGCACCTGCCCCCCATGTAGGAAACAAGTGACGTTCAGCCTGACCCAACCAAAAGGCCATTGGCATTTAGGGAATAAACCGCCAAATGAAAGATGCACGTTTCTCTCTCTCTCTCTCTCTCTCTCTCTTTTTCCCTGACACTCTCCCACTATGTGTGTGACTCTCTTTCAAAAAGAAAAAAATTGCCAAAAAGATCCACTCTTTTGTGTTCAAGACATTAAATAGTGTCAATAATGCTCTACAATACGTCTCTACACTTATTTTAAAAACTGGAAATAGAATTGCCATGTGAGTCAGCAATCCCACCGCTGGATGATAGAAGACCTAAACACATTGCATCAAAGAGACACCTGCACCACAATGGCTAGAGCAGCACTGCTTCAGTAGCTAAGACGTGGAAGCACCAAGGTTTGATTACCTGTGCATGGACCTTACCTGTCCATGATCAGAAAATGGACAAATGAAATGTGGCATAAATATATATCATAGAATAATATTCAGCCATAAAAGAAAATGAAATCCTACCATTTATATAATAATAGTTAGAACTACAGGACATGATGTTGAGTCAAATAAGCCAGACACAGAAAGACAAAGACTGTATGCTTTCCTTTACATGAGCAAGTTAAAATTTGCATTAAAAAATCAAAAACAATAAAAAGAAATGCCGATGTGTGTATGTTTTGCTGCAAACACAGTGTTTGGTCGAACTTGCTTTTAAATCATTGTCATGCCTTCTATACTACTATAGTTTAAATGATGTTGTGACTTTTAGTACTTTTATGAGTGAAGCTGACGCTTTTTATTTGGTTATCATTTATACATCTTGCCTGTTTACCTGCTGAATTATTACTTTCCTGCCCATCTGTGGTCTTTTTACTTTTTAAGTATAAACGCTTCTGTAGAGCAGTAAGTCTTTAACTACACTGTAAATTTAAAATGTTATCTCAAAAATAATAAATAAAACAGTAAGTTGGAAAAAAAGAGCAAGAATAATTCTCCTCTACAGATAATTGCAGAAGAGTGATGGCAGATTCTATTTCCAACTTTTCAAAATTCTCCAGTTAAAGATATTAAATCTCCCTAACTAGGATGATACTAAGTTGCATACATCTGATACTGTGGATTGCAGTTGCACATATTTAACAAAAATTATCATTAAGAAATTTGCATAAATAATAGTCACAGTCAGTAATGAGAACAGGTTAAGAGAACACATCGAGGCACGTGCTCCTTGTGCGGCCCGCTGTTCAATGCGTGGTTACTCAGGTAACCACCTACATGAGTGTTACTGTCTCGTATGTTTTTACTGTAGCTTACATGCAAAATAAGTATAGATTCTGATTTTCTCCCTTTTATGCCAAAAGTACTATGCCATAAACACCATTGGGCATGCTGCTACTTCACTTTATAATAATCTGTAAACTTGGTATCTATTGTGTAAATATGTATTTTAGTTCATTTAACTGGTTCCCTAATGATGAACATTTTGTGGTTCCCAATCACTTATTGCATTGAATTCTGCTATATGTGCAATTTTCTTCATGATGAACTGTGTGTGAAGCAAAGGCTGATTTTGAGAACTCCTGCCACAGTGCCCTCTCCAGGGCATTTTCCACCCTGCACACTAGCCAGCAGTGTACCACAGGCCTGGTTTCCTCACTGCCTCATAACTAACACTCCTTCTTATTTTAAGTGAGAACTAAATTTTCATTTCTAAAGTTAGTTGATTTGTGAGAAGAATATTCGAAATTGGGCTAATGGTATGCACAAATGCATATAAAAAAATAAAGAAAAGCTAAATGAGTAAAGGTTGAAATGTTTGCTAGAGAGTAACTTAAAATGACTATTTTACTCACCCGTTTCTTGATTTTTTCAGTTAGGAATGGCTTAATCATAGAAAAGACCGCGTGGAAAATGGCTGGTTCGTTTATCAGATGGATGCCACGAACTTTCAATGGAAAGGAATCCTTTTGGAAATGAAAGGGGAAAAAAACTCCTTTAACCACTGCAATCATATTTTTAATGCTGTCTCTTCCTCTTAGACATTCTAATCTCAAAACAGTACATGAAGTGTTTTGCATAATTATCCATTCCAGCACCACAAAGCCTGGCTTTCAGTTCTCTGTCACTAGATTGAGAAAAGGACTCTAAAAAGGTTTCCTGTCATAGCTTAGGCAAACTTTCTTAGGAAATAGCTACACATTCTCACTGGAAAATACCGCCCATTGACAGAAAATGCTCTTTTAAGCAAATCAATGAGTCATTTGGACACTTATTTTTCCATTTTTTTTTAATTTTAAGAAAAAAACTTTCATAAAAAAACATATGCTTTTGACATTACTGTTAGTCGCTAACATGAAGTGTCTATATACTTATTATTAATAATTGAAAGAAATAAAGCATCATGGAAAGTTTTCTCCCCCCAAAACTTGGATATTTAATGCAGACTTTTCCTTCTAAAGGCCTTCCATTCTAAATATGGGTTTTTCTTTTTATTTTTTTTTCCCTATGTATAGCTTTTAAGGAAGTATCATTAGTTAGTTTAGGGCTTTTCCCTCCAGAATCTTTGAACATATGATTTTATTTTTTGCATAATTACTAAAATACTTTAAATAATTTGCATGCTGTTTTGATCCTTTGACATAATACACATTCTGTAAACATTATGTAAAATGTCATTGTAAAATCATGAGTTTTAGTATCATTCCAATAATCTGAATAATTTAAGTAATAATATCCCATTTCTGGACAAATAAACTATTTCTAGGGAGTTTTTTTTCCTACTAAAATTGATGATGCACATAGCTACCAAATGCAGAGGAAGAGTAAGTGGTTTTATACATGGCTTTTACATTCAAATGACTTGTACAGAAATTGACATTTCCTGGCTGACGAACTATGTGCCTGGCATTGCCCTATCAACTCTTTCACACAGGCTATTATTTTGTAAAAAGGGGGAAAATAGAGTATAGCTCAGCATGGCCATTAAATGCTAAAACATTTGAAACACTTAGCAGAGTATCTGGCACAGAGTAAGCTATTAGTACTCCATATTTTAAATTAGCTTAATATTTCACTAATTTAACATTTTAAACTAATTATTCCAGAAGTAGGTTCCTTGAAGTAGAATTCCTACATCACAACTGATGGCCATTTTTTTTTTTCTCAGCCAACAATTCTCTGTGTTTTAAAAAGGATCCTACGTTGTATGACCAGTGCCACATGCAGCCCTCCCTGGACAAGGACCATGAAGCCAGCCCAGTGGCCTCACCACACAAACCAGAACTCGTGCCCAACTGCGGCACTGCAGGGAAGAGGGCACCTCTGATGCTGGCTGGCGACAGAGGCACAGGGGAGTGGGTATGGCACTGCTGCCTGGGGATTCACAAGCCTGCCAGAGGGGCAGGGCACTGAATCATCCTAGGTGGTTTTGTTTTCTTTACAGACACAATACAGTAGCGTTCAGCCCCAGGAGTACATGGCAGCTGAGGACAGAGGTTGGCTGCTTTGAGATGTGTAAAATCTTTTGATTTCTGCAAAGAGCTGTGTCAGTTTACACCTACCAAAAAGAAATTTCATTGTGCCACTGCCATAACCTTTGAAAATCATTTTTTTAATATAGGAAAAAAAATATTGTCATGAAGACCAAGTTACCACACAATTGTTTAAATGTGTAAGTTCTATGGTTACAAATTTTGAGCACATTTTGAGAATTTGTTACAACACTTTTCCTTTTGTAAAATGACATGTTCCTATTATTTCTTCTCATTTAACTTTTCAATGAAGCTACTACCACTGCTCTTCGTTGATCATACAACAACACCAAAAATTAGTCATTGAAAGTATTACACATAACAGCTAAAAAAACACACTTACTGTAAGTACAGCAGCAATTTTCTTGGCTACAGATGGAGTAATCTGAAAAGCATGAGAAAACTGCCAGCCTTCCAGATCAAAGACAGCCTTGATCCCATTCCGTTGAGTTTCTACCTCCTGAACAATAAGCTCAGATGTGATTAGACTTACACGAAATACGTCATAAGCTGTAAAAAGCTTTGGGTCCCAGTTGGCTAAAAAATAAAACATATCATATCTCAGCTTTGCATGTAGAATCAGAAAGACTTAACAAAGAGAAACTAATTCTTTTTATGATTAGATCAAACAAATCCAAGAACATATGCCTATTTCACTATCCCCTCAGATTCCTCAGGGGGAATAAATGGGGAGAATCAAGATGGCGAAATAGGGTAAGGACACGCTTAAATGGATCGAAAAACATTTTATCAGGATGAAGCAGAGGACATATTTCAGGAAATAGGAAAGGACAGAAAAACAGCAGAGGGGTATCTAGAGACTGACGGACACAGGAAAGCAGTGGACACAATTGTATGGTGTTGCAGTGACTGATACTCCAGCGGCATTCAGTGAACAGCAATCTGAATTCCACCAGCAGTCAGAACTCCACCAGCAACCAGGTGAGAAGCGACTCACTGGGAACTTGGGAGGTGAACTCAAAGAACTGTCCGTCCTGCTGGTCCATTTGATTTAACCAGGAGCAGAGACAGAGCAGCAGATCCCAGATGGGCAGTGTGAGAACAGCATGGATTTCACACCCCAGTCAGCCACCTGGAGCCGAAATGGGCACCATTTTGCGTAATGAGGCAAAGGCAAGGGAAAGAACTGAGTATACGCTAAGCTGGGAGTGTGAACTCATTTCTGACTCAGTGAACTACAACAGCAACGTGGCATTCTACAGGTTTCACCCAAGACAGGTCTGGGTAGCCCTCAGACCTGATGGCCAGCAGATCAAGAATTCTAGTAGTGGTACATAAGGCACCATTTTGCACACTGTGGCAATAGGTTTGGGGCTGCAGGGGCAACAGTGACCTGCACATGTGCTAAGCTCGCGAGAACTCACTGAGTTCTGTGGATTGCACTGGTCCCGCAGGAAAATAATACCGACTGTGGCATCATACAGGTCAAAATAGATCCTTGTGGCACCCAGACCTAACATACAACAGGTTCCGCCAAGATCAGCACCACCAACAACCTAACTAGATAGGACACCTGGTGTCTCTCTAACCATGGGACCTGCTCCAACCAGAAGTGGGAGAAAGGTTGAAGAGACAACAGTGCAGCCTCAGCACGGTATCACAGGAGGTAGAGAGTGGTGAGCTAGGAGCTGGGGCTGTGGAGACCACAGTGGAAATCTGACATAAGAACCCAGACCTGGAACTCGCTGGAGGTTGTGGCACAAGTGGCTGCAAGCAAAAAGTTGTGTACCAACTGCAATAAGTAAAATCACACTGTAGACCTGTGGGTGACACAGCTTAGAAACCTGCCCCAAGGAGAAGACTCTGCTAACCAGAAGTACAATGACCAAGAGCAAAAGAAGAGACAAAGGCACAATGAATATTACTAAAAACTCCCCTGCAAAAGAGCAAAACCCTATGCCAACCTCAGAGTTAACTGAGGAAGAAATTGAGAAAATGGGGGACACAGAATCCATAAGACTCATTTTAAAGGTTCTGATCAAAAATGAGACACTCATGCAAGTGTTAAGAATTTAAGGAAGCAATAAAGCAAATCAAGATTGATATATCAGAAATTAAGAACACAGCAGAGCAAATAAAAAGTACAGTAGAGAGTCTCCAAAATAGAATGAAGTAAGCAGAAGAAAGAATCTCAGAATTGGACGATACTTTCTGTCTTCAGGGGGAAGCAAACAAAAAGCTGGAAGCAGAGCTGGATCAGGCCAAAAAAAAAAAAAATTCAAGAATTGCAAGACACTATTAAAAGGCCAAATATAAGAGTCATGGGAGTCCCAGAAGGAGCAGAAAGAGAAGCTGAGTTTGCAAATGTATTTAATGAAATAATCAAGGAAAATTTCCCTAATCTGGAGAAAGAATTGGGAAACAAGATCCAGGAGGGGCACAGAACTCCCAACAGGCTTGATCAAAAGTGATCTTCACTAAGACACATGATTATCAAGCTCTCTTCAATTGAACATAAGGAAAAGATCCTTAAATGTGCACGTGAAAAAAATCAATTGACATATAAAGGAATGCCGATTAAACTCACAGGAGATCTCTCACAGGAAACTCTACAGGCAAGAAGAGAATGGAGTGACATATTCCAGATTCTAAAAGAAAAAAAAAAAAGTTGGCCTAGGATAACATATCCAGCAAAGCTTTCTTTTGTCTTTGAAAATGAAATAAAATTCTTCCACAGTAAAGAAAAGTTAAAAAAATTTGCCTCTTTCAACCTTGCCCTGCAAATGATACTTCAAGATGTTGTCTTGACAGAGAAGAGGAATAGCACCTACCAAAACCAAAGGCAAATGGGAAGAAATGGGATGTTCTTCCCATTTGACAACAGAAGACTAAACCAATGAACAACCCATTCCTAAAATGACACTTTCTTCTGATTAAATCATTCAGTGACTCATATCATAGATCATGCTGTGGTATCATTTTCTTCAAGAAGTTTCTTGATTTTCATTTCTTCAGCTACATGTTAGTCATTTAATAGCATGTTATTTAACTTCATGGTGTTTTTAATTTCTTTTTTCTCCCTGATGTTGATTTTGTTTTGTGGCTTTTCATTTAATGGGATGTTTACTAGCTGTGTAATGAAGTTTGTCATATCTAGTAACATGCCATTTAACTTCATGGCATTGTAAATTTCTATTTTCCTTTCTATTGTTGATTGTGTATTATGACTTTTCATTTAAGGGGGTGTACAGTAGTTGTGAAATGGAAACTAACATCCAGATGTGAGGATACAATGTAGTGTGCATTTCTACTTCCAGACAAAGATGGACTTACAATGAAACTGTTCACTATTTCTTGACAATGGGATGCTGGACTCTCTGCCATTGTCCATGCCTGCAATGATGGACATATGACTGTTTATGAAGAACTATATGTTAGTAATTATATAGAGGAACTAGGTGGGAGGGGGAGGGAATTGAGGAAAGCGTGAGTTGAGATGAGGGCAGACCAGACCAGGCAGGGCTACAACACCTGTGCGCCTCATATGAGCTAGATTGGGGAAGGGCCAGATTGGGCTGACTGTTCCAACTGGTGCAAGCAAAAATTAGAGTGGGTAAGGGTTGGTTGGGCTTTGCCACATCATCAGATGACAGAGGCTGGCACTGGGAGGCCAATTCTGTTAAGTTAAACTCCAGAACCACCTGGAGAGTGCATAACCTGGGAGTGGGAGTGGCCTAGTAGGGAGATAGTGGGCACCTCCCTCATGGGTAACCACTCCCACTGGAGAGCACAAAAACCAGGACAGGGGAAGGGGTGGCTAGACAGAAGGGCACCTGCCAGTATGTGAGTGGGCTGGATAGTAGGTTGGTTGGGTTGAACTAAGCTTCAATGCCCATTGACAAGTACCAGAGCTAAAAGGGGATGTGGGACAGACTGAACAAGCCTGTGGTACATGCTGGCTTGCATGGAAACCAGGTTAGGGAGCAAGCCTGGTGGTGGCTATGGGCAGTTGCCCCAACTAGGCTGCAGCTCCCACTGGTTTGCGTGAGGACCGAGTATGAAGTGGGTAGGATCGAGCTGGACTACAACACCCATTGGTTCAAGTGGATGACAGGGCTGGAAACAGAACTGACCCAACAATTGCAATGACCAGCATGTGCTTTAGCTGATTGGGGCAACAGATTGTGCCAGACCCTGTACTGGCAAATTCACACAAGAATCAGATCTGGGAGCCCCAGCATGGTGGCGCAAGTGGTTAAGGTCCTCGCCTTGCATGCCCGGGATCCCATATGGGCGCCGGTTCTATCCCGGCGGCCCCACTTCCCATCCAGCTCCCTGCCTGTGGCCCAGGAAAGCAGTCGAAGACAGCCCAAGGCTTTAGGACCCTGCATCTGCGTGGGAGACCCAGAAGAGGCTCCTGGCTTGGGATCAGCATAGCATCAGCCGTTGCGCTCACTTGGGGAGTGAATTGGTGGACAGAAGATCTTCCTCTCTGTCTCTCCTCTCTGTATATCCTCCTTTCCAATAAAAATAAAATAAATCTTAAAAAAAAAAAAAGAATCAGATCTGGGATCATCTCAGATGAAGTTTCTTTGGAGATCCCTCCAACTGAACTGCTGATCTCAGAACCCCAACCATGAAGAGACTATGTCAGCCAATGAATTCTGAATAGGTTTCATCATGATTGGAATGGCGAGATTGGCAGCAATTCAGATCTGCTGAACTATCAAAACTGCTTGAGCAGGACCCTCGGAGCATGCCTCACGTTGGGGACCTGGGATGGGTGGGAGACTAGGTGGGACTTTTCCCTTTGTTTCTCCCCTGACCCCAAATACAGGGGAAAAAATGATATTAGTATGGAAACAATGGTATTACCAACTTTCCTGTAGCCCTTGACCCTTTGTATCTTAATCAACTAAGTAATATCATTTAAAAAAAAAATTTAAAAAAAGAAAAAACAAAAAGTATTTTGATTGGAGCTAACGCCATGTTTTCTAAGCCTCTGCCTGCAGTAGTGGCATTCTATATGAGCATCCATGTATGTCCTGGCTGCACCACTTTCCTAGGCCATAGATCCCTACTTATGGCCTGTAAAAGCAACAGAGGATGGCTTGATTCCTTGGGTCCCTAAACCCACGTGGGAGATATGGAAGAAGCTCTTGGCTTCAGATAGGCACAGCTGTAGCCGTAACATCCATTATTAGGTAAGTGAGCCAGTAGGTGGAAGATATCTCTCTGTCTCTCCTTCTATCTGTAAGTCTGCCTTTAAATAAATATAAATCTTTAAAAAAATTTCCAGAAAGGGAAGACATCTTTCCCCCCAAAGCCAATATTTTGACTGGAACTACTCGAGTACATAGTGGCATCATTTCAGATAGAAGAGTCTAAGTGCAAAAAATTGGTGAGCTTAGATACATGAAAATGTCTAGTGCGGTGCATCTGGAAACAGAAGTAGGGATCACAGATCTGGATATGGAAGGAGAAGGTACAAGTTGGAAGTCGCATGTGCCTATATGGGAATCCACAGTAGTAATTATCTCAGCTTTCTGTTTCTCTGCTTTGGTGGAGTAATAAGG